ATGCGGGTTCACATATGCAGAAAACGTAATACTTCAAGTCGAAGGATAGTTACACCCGTGGTCGCGCTAAAGATGCTTAGAGCATGAACTAAAAGTTCAAGCAACATCTTTAGGATGGGTCAGTCCGGCATCCTATTATCTCTAGATAATATCTGCCCATGTGCGGATGCGAACACACCGTCATTGACTATGAGACTAAGTCAAACATCCAACACACACTAGGCTCACATGCATTAACGATATCCCACTCTCGTTAATACTCGACTATGGACATTTAGATAAATATTTATTTCAAGATGTTAGTCTCATCAGCAGAAGAACACTATCTGATAAACATCTTTTAAATATAAATCTAGGAATATAATATTTGTTTACATTAGCATGAGATGTGTAAACATATTATATCTGCCTATAACATGATAGAACAACGATAAACAGTTGGCCATCAGGGCACAACTCCAACAATAAGAGCAATGCACACACGATATATACTGGTTCGGCCTAAATGCCTACATCCAGTCCCCGAAGCAATCGTGCCCAGGCCTTCACTAACTTGCCAAACTTAACAGAGTTTGACAATCCGAATACAACTCGAGAACTTGATTTCACAAGCCTCTTATCTTACCACCGAAGTTTTGGTTTCAGAAAACTCAAGATTTTTTCCACCTAACGTTTGATTTCACTAACCGTTAGGATTTCTACCACTTGGTGTAATCACAACACCAAGAATACAAATCCCTTACAATAAAGTAAGAAAACAAACCGCAACCGAGTAATTCTCCCAACACGGAGTAGATTGTTGCAAATACAATGAAGTCCTTTAGAATATGGAAATATCTCTCAAAGACTCAAGCAATGAGGAAAAACTCAAGCAAGAAATGATTTAGCAATCAAAACAATTGCCTTGCTTGGATATAAGGAGGGGATTGAGTAGAATTTCTTTGGATATTCAAAGGATATGTTTTGAAGTGCTTTCAATGTATATTCTTGGCCAAAAACACGAGATAGGATAGTTTATAGAAGTTAGGGAGTGGATAGAGATGAAAAGCATTCAAAAAACTATCCGTTTGGTAGTTGAAACTGTCGAACTATTCGACTAAGTCTTCGACTAAGTCAAGACTTAGTCGACTAGTTTTGGTGAAACTGCAATCTGACTTATTCAACTAGTTCTGGATTTATTCAACTAAGTCAGAATAGAAGTTCAGGGATTTATTCGAATAGTTTTTAATTTATTCGAATAGTTTGCTGAAAAAAATGTGTTTTAAAAGTAGGATGATAATGGAATGAACATTAGAGATGCCATACTCTTTAACACAAAATCTAAGACCTAAAACACTACCCAGCTAAGGAAACAACCTCTTCGGTCTCGTTCCTTCCACCGATGCTCAAGTCCCTTCTTCACGGACGGATATGAACTTGTTGTAGCTTTGATTCTTAGCCTTGATGCACAATATGATGATGATGTTTTGTCACCCTTTTGTCATTATCAAAACCTAAAAGACAATGGGTAAAAGATATTGCAAAAATATATATTCATGATAGCACATTGTCCAACAATTTCCCCCTTTTTGATAATGACAACCCCATTAGGAGATATGCATCATACAAGGCTAGTTCCCTCTCAAGTATAGCATCATAAATCAAACAAAGACATACAAATCTATACTATCTTTCCCATTAAGATATGCACAAATACAATTCCCCCTGAATATATGCATATTTACACCATCTTCCCCCTTTTGACATTATAAAAAAGAGATGTGTAAAAAGATATATGCTCATGCAAATAGATATCAAACAAACAAATAATATCTGTAACAGGTTGATTTTATATTTAGTTGTAATCAACCTTAATTATTTCACTTAGTTGAAGGGGGAATTAACTACGAAGTGGGTTAATACACGAACCGCGTAGATGAAGTTGAGTTCAGCTTCACAAGTTCGTGTGGAAGGAATTACTTAGATGCTTCGTTTAGAACCATGGGTTACCCTTTTGGGTCCAGGGGTGTTATTGCAATAATAAAAATCATATGAACCATGCATCACATTATCTTGACTTAGAAGCAAGTGCCTATACTTAGTGTAACAAACTGGTGTGATGTGTCCTACTTTATTACAATAATGACACCTAACACTACGGTTGTTCATGTTTCTAGGACGTGTGATGTGCTTTCTAGGCTGTCTATCAAACTTAGAATTCCTAGAATGACTTAGTTTATTTCTAGGTGATCTATAGTATTTAATCCTAGAGGTAGATTTTAGTCTAAATTCATTTTTAACTTTCTTCATAGCTAATTTCAAATCGTCTACCTCTTTCTTAAACGCTTCTATCTCAAGACTAGAAGACTTACATGAAGAACAAGGTGAATCATTTAATTTCAAATTAGTCTCCTCAAAAGTTTTATTTTCAATTTTGAGGGAATCAATTTCTTTTTGCAAAATATTATTTTTCTTTTGAAAAAAGGTGATTTTATATTCCAAATCTTTGGCAATAGATGAGACTTTCTTAAATTCTTTAAATAAATCACCAAATGCTTCTTGTAGTTTTTCAAAACTAAAAGGATTGTTAGAAGAAATTACCTCTTCGGATTCACTTTGAGCCATAAGACAAATGGCTACTTCATCATCGGATGAGGAAGAGGAGCTAGAGTTGGATTGCTTTCGGTGTTTGGACTTCTTGAATTTTCGATTAGGGCAATGACCTTTGATATGTCCACGCTCTCCACATCCATAGCAAGTAGACTTTGTACTTTCATTCAATTGCTCAAGCTCATTTTGCAAGAAGTCATTAAATAACTCGAGAATGTCACTTTCTCCAGAGCCGCTTGTCTCGACATATTTTGACGATGAAGCTTTGAGTGCAACTCTTTTGAATGATAGATTTTGATCCCTTTTGATCTCCGCTGCACTATAAAAGTTAGACATTTCATAAGTAAGTAGTTTACCTCGAAGTGCGTCATATGTCAATGTATTGTAATCTCGGCCTTCTTTGATAGGG